GGCGGCCCCCGGCGGGGGCTCCGAGCCGAGCCCGGTGGGAGCGGGGCGGTCCGGCCTTGGGCCGACTCCCGCCGCGCCGCCTCACCCGCTGCCGCCGGCTCCGCACTGCGCCTGCGCGCCGCGGGGGCCGCCGGGAGATGTAGTCCCGGGAACGGCCACCACGGCCGCAACACGCGCGGGATGGGGCGTTCACAGAACCACGGGATCAGCGGGGCTGGACAACACCCGAGACCACGGGGTCCAACCCGTGAAACAACATCTCCTTGTCAGCCAGACCATGGCACTGACTGCCACATCCAGTCTTTCCTCAGACACCCCCAGGGACAGTGACAACTCCCTGGGCAGCCCATTCCAATGTCTAATTACTCTTTCAATAAAGAAATTTTTCCTAATGTCCAACCTAAAGCTCCCCTGGTGCAGCTTATGCACTGTCACTTGTTACCTGAGAGAAGAGCCCGACTTCCACCTAACTGCACCCTCTTATCAGGGAGCTGTGGAGAGCAAAAAGGTTATCCCTGGACTTTCCCTTCTCCGAGTTAAACAACCCCAGCTCTCAGCCACTCCTCATCACACTTGTGATCCAGCTCTGGTCCCAAGAGCCAGGGCTGTGAGAGGGGAAGGTCAGCATGTAATGCACTGCTCCCATGGCCACCTCTATCTCACACAACCACAGACCAACAAACCTCCTCTTGTCTCAGTAAAGCATAGGGGAAGCAAGACTTTCTAAGCAACCTAAGGTACAGTAAAACACCACTTCGTGCAACATGTTCTGCTACAGCATTACAAAAAAAGCCAAATGCTTCAAGCCACACTGTGAATTTTCCATACTGACTTCTGGCACAAAGAAAGAAAAACAAAGAACTAATCACAGGAATTTCCAGGCATTTCCACCTCGACATCATCAGTATTTAAAGGATAATAACTAAGAGCAATTGTTTAAAGAACACTCAAAACTCCCATGTAGGCATTTTCCTATTGTATATTAAAATTGACTACCACATTCCCGCTCACAGGTACTTTCTGACCATTAGCAAAGGCTGGGGAGAAGCTGCAGAGCTGTCCACACACCCCCTTAGCTCCACAGAGCCATCCTTCTTTAGGTAACCGAAGGGAAAACAATCTGCAGGGCCCTGATGGAACAGAGCCAAAGCCACAGCAGCCTGAGCCTGGCTGCTGTGCTTAACACCAGCCTAACACCCACCTCCCCCTTTTAGCAAAAGCCTCCAGAAGTGTTTGAACTACAAGCTTAGTCATAGTTTGGTCAGTTAACTGAAATAACAGACAGATGCTCAAGTGAAGAATTCAATGTATATTTATTATTCACAGTTAATTACTATCTACCAAATGCTGCTGCAGAGTTAAAGGATTAAGTACATAGGCCTTTTTTTTTAATTAAACACGGAAAATTTTTTTAATATATATACACACACAAGACATATGTCTGCAAGGCTGCATGATATACACCAATTCCAAAATAAGGAAACAATCAAATGGTCCAGGTGTAGAATGCCATAGATTCCTTTTCCAATCACTTTACAAAGTGGGAAGAAAGTGAGTGACAGCTAGCAAGGAGAGGGGGAAAATTAATACTCTACAGGGTAGCTCTCTCTTTCATTTGCTGGAAAATCAAAATGTAAGGCAGAGTCCATCTCAGGAGTAAAACTTTTGTAACACTTACTACAAAAAAAGGCACCCTCCAACAAAAGATTGCCCATGCTGAGGCAGGGCTGGAGATCTCTCCTGCAGGTTGGGATGTGTTGGTGGGGTGAAGGGATCCAGCCAAACGGCCACCAAAGGAAAAAACACAACTGAAGATTGGCACAGAGAGCGCTGTGGGCTGATTGCTTTCCTTCTGTCCAATTTAATGTCACACTGCTCTGGTGAGGAGCAAAGGGCCACCAGAAACCCCCCGGGGGTGCAGGGTGGGGAGAACAGTCACACACAGCCTGCTGTGAACGGGAGCGGGTGGGGAGCTACTTCAACAGGAACACTGACCTGAGGAGGGAGGAGAGACTGGAGAACAGGGAAGCCAACTCCACTTCTCAAGAGCAACACGACTGCAAATACTGCCTTATCCAGGCCGAGGAGACAGGCTGATCACATGCATCACGTAGAAACATTCACTAAGAGCGTAAAGTTTTTTTCAAGCACTATTTCTTGAGGTTTCTCTGCATTATGAAGTTTTCCACCAAAGGAATGTACATTTTGTAGGACATCTGAGGGCTATTGTTTTTCAAATTCCCCCCTTAACCCTCCCTCCCCAAAATACGCTTCCTGGTTTTCCCTCATCATAACTTTCCCCTTTCTCTTACTTCTTTTGAGGCTCCTGGTTGCAGCTCTCCAACTCTGAGCAGCCTAAGTTGCCACCTGAATGCCTTGATTTTATTTTCCTTGGAATAAGGGAAGTTGAACGGTAAGACAAATCTGAAGATTAAAGCTCCATCTCTGTAGATTTTTCTCAAGTGTCCATTGATAAAATCACCCTCCTTTGCCCCCTTCCCCCAAAGTATTTATTTACACATAGGCAGAAAAAAACCCCTCTGAAAAGCTCTGGACTGTCCTTTTAACTTAAAAAATAATAAAAAAAGAAAATAAGGGGAAGGCACTATGGAAAAAATTACAGAATGTGCTCAACCGTACACCTTTAAGAAAAAACAAATAAGCTGTCAGCACAGCATTAATAGACTTCAGTTGTACGTTGGAGTTTCTCAAAGCAGCTCTGTGACTCCAAAGTAAAAAATAGAACAAAAAGCCACACAACTCTTCTCCCTTCCTCTGTTTGGAAGCTGCTGAGCTTCAGAAGAAAGTGCCAAAGGAGAAGAGACAATAAAAATTAGATTAACACCTCATCTTTCCCAGGCAAGAAATGCTGAATGTTGAAGGCAAAAGCAGAAACTGATGATTTGTTTTTTTTAAAGGCAGGACTGTGGATTTGGTTCTTCTCTCATGTCCCTTCAAGTCAAATGAAGACCATTTGCAGAGAGAGAAAATACCAGCAGAGATTCTCCCTTTTCCTTTAACTGCATGGCTAGGACTTTATATGGCATTAAAACTTCATGCACTGATGGACAGAGGAGGAGGGGAAAACAAGAAGAGTTGTGGTGGTGAGACCTTAAGTGACCTTAAAACACTCATTCGCAACAAGAGTGAATAAAAGGGGATAACCCAAGAGCAGCTGAGGAAATTTGTTATTTTCTTTTTTTTTTTCTCTCTCTCTCCTTTTTTTATTTTCCTTTTTTTTTTTTTCCTTTAAGTTAAGTTTTGGTGTGTAAGTTGAACTCTTCCCCCCCGCCCCTGAAGTTCCATACTGAGGGAAGGAGGATCACCTCACGGTGAAAGGTGACTCCGGTTTTACCGCCGTGTGATTTTTAGGTCACTGGCTGCAGTTAGGCTCTGTATGTGTATTTACTGTTTCTCTGGTTTCCTTAAATAATCTCTAATATTTATCTCTAGATGTTCCGATTCACTGGGGTCACGTAGTTGCGTGGGAACATGCCCGTCTGTCCGCGGCACGCTCCCTTCCACCAGTTGGGGTCAGAATTGTCAAGGACTTGGATAAAGTCTCCGCGATGGAAGCCCAGCTCTCCTTCCTCTTGGGGATCAAAATCAAACAGGGCCTGAACATATGTTGGTTGCTGAAAGGGGAAGGAGAAACATAGAGACAATGAGAATCACCCACAGCACTCCAGACACCTGCTCCCGTGGGCAGGAGCTGTCTTACACCACAGATTAACAATAAACATTTGGGCTGTTCCCTTTCCCTGCAAGCCAGCTCCCAGCAGCTCCAACAAGGTGCTAAAACAGCAAAGGACAGGCTATAGAACACCTCAGAGAAATGCCAAGTTTCTTTGAAAGAGCTGAAATAGAGCAGATGATTCTGATGCTTTTCTAGTATTTTTCATGCTTTGTGGCCTACTGTAAATCTGTAATTGTAATACAATAATATTGCTGTTTACTTGTCCTGTTTTTATACTTGACAGCAGAAATATTATTGATCTACACAAAGTTACCATTAAAAACTGGATGCTGACATTTTACATACTTTCCTTAACTCTTCTGTCACAGAACATTTTGTCTGGTAGCAAGTCTTCCTTTCTGATAGAAAAGCTAACAGTTTATTTAAAATACATTTGCAGTCTTAAAATCATGAGGGCAGGACTTCTCTTCATGCTTGTCCTTTTCAGCCAGCTGTTTTCTCACCTTCTGTTTATCCCTGACCTGGCAGTGCAGAGCCAAGCGTTAAATTCAGACAATCTGTGACAAAGTTGCCTGTGGCACCTGGACAGCTGCACAAACTCCACACCCTTGTCTTCAGGCTAGAACCACAGTAGTGTACAAGAAAGCAAAAGGATTTACCCAGAACTGATAAAACATGCAGTCATGAAATACGACACTCTGATTGACCTGGGAAACGGAACAAAATAAGGAGTTGGATATACACAAGATGCTCTGCTGGCACTTCACGACAGTTTTTGGATTCTCTTCACACTGGCTAGATCCAAACCAGAGATGCTCCATATGCTGTAAACACCTCTTCAGGAAAGCCCAGAATCACAGTCTCACTGTGGGCTGCACTTCTGGCTACGACCAGGTATAAATCAGAACAGAATCACAGAATTGTTTAGGTTGAAGACGACCTTCTAAAGATCACCAAGTCCAACCATTAATCCAGCACTTCCCTATTCTTTCTTACTGTGCCCTATAACAGGAACAAATCCATTTTTAATTCACAGGAATCAGATGATCTTCCTGCAACAGAATCCATAAACATTACAACAAGTCAAACATTCAAGCAGCAACAATAATTTTGCCTCAACTCCAGGGAGGCGAGGAATGCAGGTAGGCTTTGCACAAGAATGCAGCTTATTTACCAGTAAAATTCTGACTGCAGGATCTAAGGATACACTTCCACAGGTAAAAAAAAATCAGTAAGCTTTTTTCTTACTCTAAAATGCAATCCCACTTCAGACTGT